GTATAAAGACTGTCTTGAAGGACTCCATTTGTTACACACTCAGAAACCACACCCATATTACTAAGGTATCTATAATTCTACTATTAATAAAGAGAAATGCCACTGGTGTAATTAGGTTTCAGGAACAACACTCATTTTCCCAAAGTTTCATTTTTAAAAAATTGTTTGCAATGTTTTCATCTTGTAAATACTGGTTGCTTTATTGTACAATTACTTTCATCCCACCATTGGAAAGTTATGAGGCAGTTTTAAATGCTGAAACTGAAAGCCGACCATAGATTATTTTTGCCTAACTTATAAGGATTCTTTCTTAATATGACTCATTCTTCCCATGCAGACATATCTTGCAATAGAGAAATTTAGATGTTAACCATGCAACAACATAAAGAACAACAACTATTCATAAACCATTTTATGTAAATGACAGGTAATGTATAAATCCCAGCTGTGAAGTACATTCTTCTTTCATTTACTGTCATTGTCAAATAAATTTGAACAGTAAAGTCTTCAAAAGATACAGGACAACTATTTATATTGCCAAACAATTGCACAGTTGGTATTCAGCTTGTAGACATTTTCTGGCTATACTCATTGACACTTTAGTCTCAAACACAGGTCAAATGAAGCAAATCCATACGTTTGTTACACAGAATCACACCTAATTAAGCTTCCCTTAGATTTGGCAGAAGGGTCTCATACTCAAGGAAAGAATAATCACTATATCTGGCATCAAAAAGAAATTTTCTTCACGTTGGATGATAGTTATTCTGGAATAATAGAATGTGACTTGGCTCACTTGCAGCAACTTCCTCATCCAACATAGTACACTACTTATGGAAATCCTGTCTAAATTGACTGAATATACTGCCTTGCAGCAGGTAATTGAACTGTGACTATTTTACCCCACCACTTCCTATAGTTTAAGACCACAATCCTATGTACTTATCTGGGAGTGTTTCTCAATTTACTTCTGAGTATGTCAGCAAAGAATCAGGCTGCTATAGTTCCTTCAATTGTAGCCTCCTGCGCAACAAGTATAGATTTAAGAGTATTATTATTTTATAACACTCAGTTTAAGATAAGCAATTCAGTTTTGAACACAATTTCCTCTTTTTCACGTTTTCTTCAACAGCTGTGAAATAAATCATCAAATCAACAAGGGACAAAACACATAAACATTAAAAGTTCTAAAAGGCAAAGAATGTGTTTAATGGAAACACTGCAGCCATCTCCCAAATTAAAAGAACACTATACACTACACCCACAGATCAAAATCAAAACTACTTAACCACAAAACTACCTAACTACCTAACCACAAAACTAATCAAAACTACCTACCTTGCCGAAATCAGATTTTTATAACTTCCATTTGAACTTTAAAATAGATCAAAATTTTAAAAATGAAAACAAAAAGTAACAAGAACTATGACAGCTGTGCAATTGAGAAGAATGCCTTCTAACAGCTGGTATTCAATACTTGGGCATTTAAAAGTAGAAAGCTATGAACTAAACTTTGGTTGCAAATGTAACAGGAGGTCCACAATTTTTAAAAATCTATATAGATTTTTTAAAAATCTATATGGCAAAACTATTTTAAAAATTTGTTTCAAATCTCATAAGTTAAAATATCAGCAATACTATATAGAGCAACACAACCTATGAGAAGGTTCTCATACCATGCAAAACTAAAACATAGGTTCAGAGATGTCCTCTCCCTTTCACATAAATGACATCCTCACTCCAACACATCCTCTGGCATCTAAAGCTGCCAACTGGCACATATTCACACTTAAGTATTTATAGTGTAAACAATACAAATAAAACCCTAATGTAAGAATGGATATAGTAGGAAGATTATAACAAATAAATTAGGAAAGAGACACAGTAAATTACTCAATTGTAAGAAGGGGACAAATTGTATATGACAGTCTCATAATTTACATGAGGCTGAGTTTTCCTGCATTGCAAAACCCCTCTTAAAGGTTCTGCTTTCAACCATTTTGAGAATATGAATTTAAGTAGAAAGAAAACAAAAAAGACCACATGCACTAAAAAGCATGTCTATGTATATAATTTTTCATATAAAATTGTTATTCAATATAATTACACTTCTGCATACAAGTGTATCAGGAATTAAAATCAAACAAGTTCCAATATCACTTCAGAAAGTAAAAGAGTTGAGCTCTGCTTCCTCTCTCACTAGCTTTCTTATCTTTAGAAATACCTCCCCCCCAAAAAGTCAGTGGTATTTACTCAAAGAAGATGTGCTACATAAAATACCCATTAATTCATGTTTTATTAAAGTGAAACATTGTCCAGAAATACACATAGATGGCAGTTTTCAAAACAACATTCGGTAGAAATCACAAGCACAGACCGTATGCAGGGGCGAAGTATCAATGTACTTTACAGGAAACAAGAACATGTAATCAGTCCATCACCTGCAGTTACCCTATTCCACCAAGAGTGTTACTGCACATTCAACATCAAAGTTCCACAACTACATCAACATTCTTATTTACAAAGAATTACAAAAGAATATCAGCTGCATAAATAGCTAATGATTACGCTTTAAAAAACAATACATGTCCGGATAGATAATGTTCCTTCTTAACAGTCAATTTTCTTTAAACTATAGGTTAAATGCACTTTGATAGCATGAACACAAGTAAATTAATCTGAAAATGTGTGCTAAATTTGTCAACACCACCTAATGAAAAACAACACTGTTTTCTCTACAGATGTAAATAATATTATTTATATTACTAATAATTTATGTTCTTTCTATATCAGAGTTACATTTTTCTGTAGTTTAGAAAGATCTGTATAAACATGATACTTTCCACTTTATTCTGCATAAACTGCCAATAAAATGTTTAATTAGCTACTACTGACTATAAAATAAATATACAAATGTGCCGAGTTTAGAGCCCCAGAGTTAATTCTTACAATCTTACAATCAGTTGGAAATTTTACATTTACAAAATATCAGTGTCTATACAAATTTGAAACTAATCTAAAATTAGCATTGTTCAGATTAAGACTTCAGGGGGAATATGTACTGGAAGAAATCCAAGTGCCATCAGTTAGAAGAATGCTAAGAGCTCCAAAAATTCCTCACGCTCATGAACAAACACAAACAGAAACACTAACTAGCACCAATAAAGAGTGACTATCTCACATCTGTCCATGTCTTAACAGGTAGCAGTCTGGTAAAATGTATGTCCACATCATTTGCTTGCTAAGAAATGATCAGTAGTGTAGCTTGATGTACAAAATGGGTCTCAGTATCTAAACTGAGGATTAGTTTACACCTGTTACAGTCAAACTGTACAACTTCTCTTTCACACTGGCATTTCCTTCAGAGGAACCTATTTACATCACTGAACACAATGTTGCATATTGTCTAATTTTTAAATTCAGAGTCAGAGAAAACTTGAAAAATGTATTTGTAAGACTGAAAAGTCAAAGAACTTAGTGCCAATTTCTGTCAGAAAAGATAAAAACCTATAGCCTTGCTTCATCCTATCACTAAATAACAAAACACCATAATTTCATATTTGCATTATCCATCATATTCAACCACTCCCCCCCCCCATAATCTTCACACATTCAAATAGGGCCCCCTGTTCCGCTACTGCCTGTAAATTCCGTTTGCTATTGGAGTTGTAATTCCATCATCATTTTTACAATCATGGTTTTGTAAATTCTCATAAAACTATGGGTTATGGCAGCTACCCTATATATACACCAGTCGCCATGTTATTTACACCTTTAAAAATGTAAGTTGTCTCATAAATGCTTTAAGCACTGTTTCAAGAAAAAGACACCATTTACAAAACTAGTGCACTTTACATGTAATCTCACCTCCATTACTTGTAATGTGGACACTGTCTACCTCTTTAGCAGAAACATCACAAGACGATAGGAAACTGAATTGGACCCACTTCTGAATCTAAGACAGAGTGGTGAAAAGTGACTTTCCAAATACTCTTGCTCTGATCATGATCATGCCACACTCTTTATCGTTCTCCCTCCCCCTCACAAAATTCAGTCATCTGTCTAAATACAGTCAACAAATGTAAAGCAGTTTGCTTTTACTACTGGGGGGACAAGGGAGTAGGCCATCTCAGTGCAGAGCTACAACTGTCATTCAGACTTACAAAATCAAAGTACCATCACATTTTTATCAATAATGGTTCATTCCTGCTTTCTGCATAAATGACACACTTTAATTTAGAGTAGACAATCAGTACCTGTACAAATACACAAAAACCTTATTCAGAATGCTACTTCTGTATACTAAAAATCACCATAAAGACCATACCTGAATTACATACCCTTCTAAAGGTATATAATTTAAAATATTTTGTTGCTTGTATACAAATACAGAATTCATTCTTATTTCCAAGCGAAACTACAAGTATTGTTTTACAATAGATTTTTCCTATGACAATTGCGATATACACATAGAATCAGGGAAACATCTGATGAGAGGCACTTGGTCTCTTTATTCCACAGTAAGGCAAGCGAACAAAGCAATGAAGCAGAAAGAAAGAACATAATGGATTTAAGGTAAATGGCCTGTTCTATAAAGAACACACTGTGGTTTTACTTAATTAGCTTAATTGTCATAACAATGACTTTTAAAACTTCAAAAAATACTTCTTAATGCCAGCTGTCAAGATTGGTTTCTTAAAATATTGCTTGCAATATGAACAAAATGCTCAGAAAATACAGGCATAATGGCATTATCCTACTGATTTCCCCCCCCATCATAATTAAGAGATCGCTTCCTATTAATTTTTTTAAAAAATATCAAGACCAGTATATTCCACCCACCCACATTACGTTTTAATGTTTATTTTACTATTTAATAATGCAACTGAATGAAATGGAAAGCCAATACTGTTCATTTATAAAGGTATGCTGTTTAATTATACAGAGATATGGATATATTACCCTAGGGATTTAACAAATCTTCTAAATCTTGCACCTACCTGGGTAAAAATCTTTGGATTTAGAGAGCTTGATGGTAGCCCCAGTCTCTTTCTGCAACTGAACAATTGTCTGTCCTCCCTTCCCAATTATAGATCCAGCCGCATAACTAGGTATGAGGACCTTTAGAAAATATTGGCCGTCCTCTGAAAAAATTGAAATATAGAAGATTAATTACTACCTAAAATGTCATTCTTCATCAAGCCTCCAAAAATATGCTTTGAATTGTGTAAGCAGTAGTATACAAACATGCGTAACTAGTTGCACCAGCACCTTCATATCTGCTCTGAAATGATGAATCTAATAAACTGCCTTTAATTTTGTGGCGCTGTGGGAAGAGATGACCCAGTTCAAGTTTAATTTTGTGTGTGAAATTGTTCTAATTCCAGCACTAGTTATTATGATACAATACGATGAACTGATGCCTTCAAAGAGGAATATAGCTTTCACGAGAATTTGGCCAACAATTTCGACTTTCCCTAAAATTGAGCAAACATTATTTACAAAAAAGAAAGAACTGTTAGTTGCAAAAAGCTATTTTTCTCAATCAGAAAATAGCCACTGGTCTGTATTCCTCATAAGAATACTCATTCTCCCCACAAATTATCCCAAAGAGGTGAGATCTTGTTCAGAGGGATTTTAGTTACTACCAGGGGAAAACCTTCAATGCAACACAGATACAGCCATTTGCTTAAATAAACCTGATGTATTTCTTTAACACTTCTTAGATACCACTGATCTGTTAAGCTCATAAACTAAAGGACATTAAGAAGAATTTTTTTTCTCAGATGAAAGGAAGCTGAAGTCATGTATACACTTAAAAGGTGACAGCTAGTGTTAAGTTGCCCAATGCTAGAGGTGAGAAAAATATAGAGCTAGAACTGGGAAGGCAAATGCTATGAATGAATGAATGAATGAATAAAAATTTCTTAACAATCTAACAGTTGTACTCCCTTCACCAGAACAGGTCTACTACCATCAATGATGTGGAGCTTTTGAGGAACCAGCTTTGAAAGGTCTTTATGTAAAGACAAAAAAAAACCCAGAAACATTTTAAGCCCTCTTTATTTAAAACAAAAAAACAACAACCCCCATTTTGGACATCACAGTTTAGATTAAAATAGCATCTTTAGAGAAGTTCGCATTTATAAAGGAACAGGTTCAGAGCCATATCACTTTCGCTGAGAGTCAATGTCCCAGCTAGCACAGGTGTGCCCCCCAACACATTATACAAACAGTTAAATACATCAGCTATCTAGTTCTGCTGTTTGTTAATGCTGGATGAATAAATTCACCTCTGCCTCGGTGCATTGTTATGAAGACTCCAGTGCAAATGAATAGAGGAGATGCTGGTCCCGTTATAACTCATCTCATCCAGGAAGAGCAGGATGTTAACTAACAAGTCACCGCACTAAGACAGGCAACTCCCGCCCTCCCTCCGCAAACCTCTCTCTGACACACACACGCGCGCGCACACATCCCATCACCGTGACCCAACCCCAGGAAGAACAAATCTGTGCAACATTTTCCACTGAAACGGAAAGCGGTGCCAGGAAATGGCCAAGATTTTGTAAAGTCTACCTGGCAACTCACAAAAGAAAACAATCATAAGCAAAGGGGGCTGGTGGAAAGTGCCTTTTTTTTTCCCCGGCCGCCATTTATCCATTTAGTTTCTCCAATTGTGAAATGTGAGCACAGGGGATGGCGAAAGAGCAGCTCTGGGCTTCGCAGCGCCGGAGGAGAGTCAAGACTGAGCAGCCCCCAGCCAAGACGAAAATCTGAAAATTAAAATAAAACTGTGCTGCTAGATGCTTGCAAAGCGACGCCATTTTGATGAATGATAACATTAGAGAAATAAAGAATGTTTGGGGAAAGGCAATGCGGGTGAGGTGAAGCGAGGTGAGGAGAGGAAGAGAAACGGGCAGGTAGGCGAGGGGAAGGTGGGTGTGGGATGGGGGGGAGGAGGAGGAGGAAGAGGAGGAGGGAAAACCCACCGCCCGTGTTGGTCCTCTTGGTGCTGCCGGCTTCGGGGGGAGCTTCAAGTGGTCTTTTCCGGGAGTCCGGCGGGTCCAAGTCTATGGGCACCCCGGTGTGGGTCCCGTTCTGCTGGATGGGAGCTGCCGCCATCATGTTTGCTGCCGCCGCTGCTGCTGGAAAGATAACTGGCTTCTCCCTTCAGGGGTGGGGGGAGCAGGGAGGGGGAGGAGGAAAGGGGGCTCGTCCCGCTTTTTCCACCCCCTTCTCTCTTTCAAAATAATCTGGGAAATGAAAACCCCAAAGGATGCTGCTTTTTGTGGGGGGGGGGGAGCGCGAGCGACTTATTTATCTGGCACCGGTGAAAGTGGGGGGGGGGGGGGAAAAAAAGAAGA